AAAGCAAACTAATAGTATTTCCTTCTGTTGTACTTAAAATAGTCCAGCTACAGAAAGGCATTCTCCTTTGGGAATTAGCATCAATGAGTCTCTTGCATTAGTGCACATGCATGTGTCTACGGGTGTAGATGTGTGTGTGTCCCTGGCCCGGCCCCCACGCCTGCCACAGTGCCAACCGTTGGCAGAGCGTGGCGGTGTGTAGTAAGAAAGAGTGGCCCAGCAATTAAATAAAGATCTCTAATTGGCTGCTTCATATTAGGGTCAGCAGCTGGATAGAGAAGAGAGGTTCGTCGCATGCTCTTCCGAACACCCATAATACGCGTATGTGTACACACTTGCACGCGCGTATGCTCACACTCATATACTCGCATACAGAAACATGCACGGCTTCTGAGCAAAATTCAATTATTAATGGACTGATTGCTCGAGTGGAGCTTCTCTGGGAATCTGAACCTGCCACACTGAATAAAATAAAACCACTGCTTTACATTTTCATTATACCAAACCGTGTTTTAAATTGCAAATGCGTCTCGGAAACCCACCGTTGCCCCTCCCTCCTTCCCACCCTCCCTCTCCTTCCCCCCTTCTTCCTTGCTGTCTCACTACAGCATACCTCTCCCCCTTCTTGTCCCCTTCCTCATCAGTTACACAAATCCATGTACACACACACACACACACACACACACACACACACACACACACACACACACACACACACACACACACACACACACACACACACACACACACACACACACACACATACATGCCCATTTTACTGTTGTTGCGTGTATGTACAGCCATCGTTAAGCAGTCTTATTAAAGGGAAGAGGCTGTGTGTGTTTGCGAGAGAGAGGAGTTGTGTGCATGAGGAAGTGCTTCTGGGCCGGCGGAGCTCCTTTGCTTATTTGCAATCAGGTCAGACAGACAGCACAGCCACATACACCACTGTCACCTCCCTCTAGACCTCTCTCGCTCTCTCCTCTCCTCTCCTCTACTCTCCCCATCCCTCTCTTCTATCTCTCCTCCTCTCCTTCTCCTCCCTCTGCGTCTGTGTTTTTCCCAGCTCCAGTGAAATAGCACATTTTGTCAGGAGTTGGATATCTCAATTATCTCCTTCGTTATACTGAGGACATTCTTTTCTGTTTTCAGTTTTTCTCCTGTGCCCCCCTTCTGTTTTCTTCAACTGCTCACCCCTGCTTTAAATGTACATTTCTGATTACCTCTGTACAATCCTCACCTTGGTTGCCCTCATTCTGTTGTAGGTCAAGTTACAGCTCAAATACCGAATTCCTAGTGCCCGCTTGTGTCACTTAAGGGTTGTGTTATTTTCACATCTGCCTTTGTCGGTTCAACTTGCGTCCTTTTTTAATCCATTATGTCCTAAGTTTATTATTTCTCCTATGTGATCGTTGCCTAAGTGTTTTTGGTATGTGCTTTTAGAAGAAAAGTCAGTTTCTAGGGAAGTTAAAACTTTAGGTTTGTGGCCCTTTTGCTTTCTTCCTGCTGCAAATTCTGACCACCTATTTGTCCTAATGTTTATTCCAATCAAACTGCTGGTGCTGCTGATGGAAATTGAAAATGCATGTCCTCCTGTGCACCACCATTTTTTTTTCATGAAAGACCAACCTGACACCATATGTTTCTAACTGCAAAAGTGAAAGAAGTGCAAAGAAAATGAAGTGACCATAAAGTGAATCACTTTTATGATATAACTGTCAGCCATGGGAGGTAGAAAATGATGGAAGAATGTGACTTTAAATTGACATCTTTTCATAATCTTTTGCATGCTGTGTGTGTGTTTGTGTGTACATCAGATTAGTCTCAGGAATGGTTTTGAGCCAGCACTAACATCACAGTTACTCCATTACACCTTGTGTGTGCATGTAAAGCAGGTAGCCTTTATTATCCTTGGGTAATCTCAAAACATGAGTTCACGTAGATGCTGTATGTTTCTGAAAGTCGTCTCTGATAGTCTTACTGTATGTGCTTGAGTGTTTCACTGTATGTGCATGCTCGTCAGTTAGTGTGTGTGTGTGTGTGTGTGTGTGTGTGTGTGTGTGTGTGTGTGTGTGTGTGTGGTACATTTTTATGCATACCACCCCCTCTCATTCTCTGTTTCTCTGTGCTGCTCCTTTTCTCATTTGTGTATATTCTGGCTGTGTGTGTGTGTGTGTGTGTGTGTGTGTGTGTGTGTGTGTGTGTGTGTGTGTGTGTGTGTGTGTGTGTGTGTGTGTGTGTGTGTGTGTGTGT